ATGAGAGCAGCGTGTGACCTGTGTGTTCAGGAACACTTCAGAGAAATGTACCGTCTGTTTAGGCCACCGCTGGGAACTGAACTCAGTTTCAGAGCTGATATTTGGGCTGTGACGCACACACTCACACACACATACATCTGATTTGTAATTAATTGTTGACAGGACTGAAAATCTCACCTCTCCATGGTACTAAAATTGCATAAGAAGGCACATGTTAACACACGTTTTGTTTTGTTAACATGGTGGAGATTTTCCATTGACTTTTACTGTATTTATATGCTAACATTATCTATGACTTAACCCTACCCTACACTAATATATCATACAATGCACTTCAAGGCCAGGGGGGTTTCAAACGGGATTCAATGGAATCCAAAGTTCTGAGAATAGAATATATAGCTAAATAAACAAACACATAATCAGTGAGAATGTACTAAACCTAATTTGACAATATTACCATTTTATTCTGGCTATAACATGAGTAGAAATTTTGTTATACTGACAAATAAAGAACAATAAAAAGAAACAGTGTACTTGATAGAAACTAAATATTTTCCATTTGACACATTTTATGTAAATATTAGCGACTCTGGCATTGGACGACACGTATAGACAACTTCCGCTTCAATGTGGTTCCGCTCACAAGTCACTTTTTATCAACAACGTGATTGTGAGTTCTGAAAATTTCAGGAAGTCAGTTCGGTTGTAAAATACGGGCGTGACTCTAGTTTACATTATAAGCGAACTGTGTGTGAACACAGCAGAATTTAGAGCTGGCAATGTATTCTGTGCTATTGTGTGAATATAGGCTAAATATATATTTTTTTAAAATACACCTATATCTTGAATTTTGTTAGCTTTTTGGTGGCATTTTTGTGAGGTGAAAATCAGCATCTACTCCAGTATCACTCGAATTTACAGATTTCAGAGGAATTACTTAAACAACTACCAATAGGAAATAAAAATCAAAAGTGAGATCTCTTTAACATCTCAAAGATTTCTCCTAGACAGAAATGAGTTTACTTTAAGATCGAATGGAGGTTTTTGCTTGAGTCTCCTGCTTCTCAAACTTGTCTCCTGAGACAAAAAAATATAACAATCTCACAATGGTCTCCTTTAAAGCTTTAAAAGAGATCTCAACAACATCACACACTGTGCTCAGATATTTATCCTTAGCTAGAGACTCTGGTGGTCTCACATTTGTCTGCTTTAAAGTTTTAGAAGAGAACTCATCATCATCACACACTGTGCTCAGATTTTTCTCTTTAGCTAGAGACACTGGATTTCTCACATTTGTCTTATTCAAAGCTTTAGAAAAGATCTCAACAACATCACACACTGTGCTCAGATTTTTGGGGTTACTCCAGGGTTACTTTTTTCTGTAAATCAGTTTCCTATAAACATTATCTTATACAAAGTAACATTATCCATATTTCTGCATGATTTCTCTTAAACTCTGAATGTATATGTTTTTCCCTTTATTTAGAGCCTTTCAAGTACTTGACTTGGTGTACACTTTGTAAAGTTGTTGAGATATTTTATAAAGCTTTAAAGGAGACAAATGTGACCCCCAGAGTCTTTAGCTTAAGAGAAACCTGAGCACAAAGTGTGATGTTATTGAGATCTCTTCAAAACTTTTGAGGATACAAATGTGAGAGATTCAGTGTCTCTAGCTAAGGAAAAAAATCTGAGCACAGTGTGTGATGTTGCTGAGGTCCCTTCTAAAACTTTAAAGGAGACAAATGCGAGAGTGTTGGAGTTTTTGTCTCAGGAGACAAGTGTGAGAAGCAGGAGACTCAAGCAAAAATCTCCCTCTTAACCTCCTTTCTGTCAATAAGAAATATTTGAGATGTTAAAGAGATCTCACTTTTGATTTTTCTTTCCTCTGGGAAGTCTCCATTTGATGTTAAAGTAACCACATGTATGTCTAGCAGAAACATTTGGGATGTTAAAGAGATCTCTTTTTATTTTATTTTTTCTTCCCTCTGGTTAGCTTCTATGTCATTTATCAACACCATTTCAATCAAACACAATACATGCATTGTCATATATTTGAAGTTGTTTTGTGTAGACAGTGCTTTATTGCACAATGATTTAACAGAGGATATCATTACCTATATTTACATGCATGCAAAAATGGGCTGTACAAGACAAAACTTTTTAATGCTAAAAAAACCCCAAAAAAACTGGCACACTAGTAGGCCCGGCTCCACAATCAAATCACTGAGGATGCGTCTTAAATTAGTGAGGGTGCTGTCTCTCTCTCTCTCTCGCTATATATATATATGTATAAGCCGCACATTGCTATGGCGCAAAGAGCACTCCCTTATCTTAGTTAATCGCGACCTCACAAAGTTACATTATAAACAATGAAGTTCTCAATGCTGCACAATGAATCTCTTATTTACATCGCGTCTACACTTCGTTGTAATGAGATGATTTGTGCTGAACACAACACCTAAACAAAAACTGTGGGTTCTAACTTAAACGCCTCTGACTGTCTGTTGTGTTCAAGAAATCAACAGATATGTCTGTGATTGGCTACATTGCTTAACGCTGCACAAACACATTGAATAGAAACCGATCTCCAGAGCGCAAACCATAACACACCGGAGAGTTTGCCAAATTTGCAATGAAATGCTATTATTACAGCTTTAACTGAGGGTGCTATTTGTTTGAGCACTCTAGCAGCCCCAGTTGAACCGGACCTACACTATTACATTTGTTAAAAAGAAAGTATTGATCTTACTAAACATCTTGCACTTATATAAGTCTTGGGAAATGTGCATATATACAATGCTGCCTGGGCATTGAAGATAAATATAAACTAGTAAACCTTGATATTCTGAAATGTTTATTACTATTTAAAAAAACGAGATTACAGCAAGACAATAAAGAGATCTCCCATGTTTATCACAGTCCATTCTCTATTTAAATTACATAGTTTTAGTATTTATTTACAATATTGGTAAATGTTTAAATTTTCTCCTAAAATAAAATTGAAGACATCTTAAGACAAAGCTGATTATCTCATTGAGACATATAAGAGAATCACCCCTTAGTATCCTGAGCATAGAGTAACCTCTGTCAGAGCTAGGGTTGGGTACCATTGGCACCGTACCTATGTAACCGGTATGTAGCCTACTAGAACCGAATCAGAACGCAGATTTCGGTGCCACTTAAATGCCTGAGCGACCTGGTTCTCTGAAATGGACGTTAGAAGCATGGGCGTCGCTAGGCCATTTTTAGCGGGGCTATAGCGATTAGCTCCATAAACTGTACACAAATTCGTGATCTCCTCAGAGTCAGTTCCCTTTAAATTTCATATGAAAACGGCGGCAGACTTCGTCTCCTCCCCGTCTTTCAGCGCGCAGACCGTGGCGAGCGGACTCAAACAGAAACAAAGGACACAAGGAGTGTGTTTATCGATAGAGTGTTATAATATCTGTATCTGTGCAGTTCTTTGTCATAAATACAGTTTACAAAAGGTCACGAGGGAGCAATCGGTTTCCCATCTACTGTAAGTTTTCGCTGCGTTCACCACTCATGACACCACAGCTGTTTCCTCCAGCGAAAATCTAGCCCTTAACACATATGAATGCATACTTTATAAAACGATCATGTTGCTATTTTCATTTAAAAATTTTATATTTAATATAAAAATATTACAGTGCATGTGGCATACCATACAGTCACAGAACTGATTAAAGACAGTGACAGACAGCACTCTGCCAATTCACTAATTTTAACTAAATATCAGAGTGATTGACAGATATACTGTACAGTAGAAACATTGTGTGTGGCTTTGTATTAAATACTGTTTTTTTTATTAAATAATGACACAGATCGTGAAATACATTTATTAGCCTTAGAGTAAGGGAAGCACAATTCGGGAAATGAGAGCATCCGAGGAGCATGTTATGTATATTTATTTTTAATATTTTTAATGTTCATTAATGTTATCCATCGTTTTTTTTGTGCCTATTTTTTTAAAGTATCGGTTCAGGCACCGGTACCGTTTTAAAAGTATGGATTTGGCACCGGTATCGTGTAAAACCCAATCGATTCGATACCTAACCCTAGTCAGAGCCATAGCCTTGTGGACAGCACATCCATGCGAAGGCACAACTGCACCTCAGACAGCATGAGTTTGAGTCCCAGCTAAAGGTACTTTCCTGCTCCTGTTCCCTTCTCACCTGTCCAATAGTTTCCTGTCTCTACTCCTACTGTCCTGACCATTAAAGGTGAAAAAACCCAATGTAATCAAGAAAAAAGAAAGAGCAACCTGTAAAACATTATTATAATGGGTTCTTGAAAGAGATTACAGCAAGACAATAAAGAGATCTCCTATGTTTCTCACAGTCCATTCTCATTTTGGACTCCTTTCTCTCAGATATTTCTCATGTCACAGTTGTGTCTACTTTTATTTCTCCTAAGGAATTTTAGGAGAAACATCCGAGACACTGTTGATACTAAAATGAGAAATTCATGAGAATCACAACTAAGTCTCCTGAGTTTAGAAAGAGCAAATTCTGAGAAATAAAATATTCCTATAATAGTCTTGACAGAGATTGCAGCAAGACAATAAAGAGATATTCTATGTTTCTTCCACCACATTCTCAGTTTTGACTCTTTTTTTCCCCTCAAATATTTCTCAAATCTCATTTGTGTTTACTTCTATTTCTCCAAAGGAATTTTAGGAGAAACATCTGAAATGATGTTGAGACTAAAATGAGAGATATATGAGAATCTCATCTAAGTCTCCTGAGCTTAGGAAGAGCAACCATAAGCAATACATTTTTCCTATGGGTAATAATGTCACGTTGTGTCCGTGCAATAATTGAAATAATAAGTAATTAAAATGTATATTATAGTTTCAGTTAAACATTAGGGGACCCCCCAGATTGACCCCCCAAACATTAGGGGACCCCCCCTACACACACACACAATTTCTCAACACACACCCAACCCACCCACACACACAACAGACAGAAACCCAGTTTGGCTGATCAAGTTTATTTGATCTGCTTACCAAAGAGACAATGCCCACAAACATAAAATAATAAACAACTCCTTCATGATTAACTAAAATGTATAATGACAGCAAGTGTCATTGTTACCATAATTATTCTTTCTCTTATCATCATCATCAATAATAATATTAGTATCATTATCTTCATATTAAGTGACATTTTCTTATCTGTTTTATATTTTAAAATGCAATAACATGAAATGATCTCTTAAAAAAACATAATGGACACATGGCTGTGGATAAGACACTAAGTGGAAAGGAGGGGAAGAGTGTAAATCTGCGTGGAAAGGCTGGTCCGTAAGGCTCCAGAGTCAAAACTCTTTCCGAAAAAGTGAGTCAATCGCCCTGATAGGCACCATTTTCCAATCCGCACACTTCACACACACACACAAACACACAAACACACACACACACACACACACACACACACACACATGATAAGCCTTACTATGAAAATAAAAACAGCATAAGTCACATTTAAAAGCACAGTATGGCAGTGGAAATTAATAGCTCATGGGTGTGAAGAGGAGTGTCAGTTGGCGTAGCGATGGCATGAGAGAAACGAGTTGAGTGAGGCTAAGAGTAAAGGATGTCATCATTGTGCACAAGGAGGTATAAGAGCATAGGAGGACGAGAGTAAACCGGGTTTATGATTCCTTTGTTATGATCTGTTTGGAGTCGCAAAGTCACTTCTTCCAGCTGTGTTCTTAAATTAACATATTCAGTTCCCTTCATTACCCGGAGATTAATTAGAAAGTACCTACAGTACAGTGCCTTCAGTTTCTGTTGCCTTGAGTTCATCCTCTTTGTTTTTTGTCTTCCACAACCCTGATTGCCATTTCAGGGAGACTCAAAGTCCAAGCACCAGAGTTAGGAATGTGTCCCAAAACCCTGTGAAGAACCCCTAGTCAACACCCACACACAGACACACGTAACCGAACACATTCATACACACTCACAACACACACAAAGTGCATTCCCATCCGGGTGGTCCAGGGTTTCCTCATTTAATTAACAAGAGTATTTGCACTGTCTTTGTTTCAATCTACGGCTTCTTAAGAAGTTTGTCCGCTTCTGGGTATGTGGGATACTTCACTGTCTCAATCTTCTCTTTGACTTTATAAGAGGGGTAGAGGCCGGTACGGCCTGTTTTGCGGTTGATTCCCTTGGAGTTTCCATCCCAATGGTTGCCCGCAACTCCAATCAAATCTCCAGGCTCAAGTGGGATGTCGTCGCTGTTGCGTGGTTGGTGAGGGTAGATAGCGATCTGGTTGTGGGCGTTCTGCCCACCGAAGTAGTAGATGTCATCGAGGGAGTAGAAGAAGGAGGACGCGTCTGGGTGGAGAGTCTGCATGATCTCGTAGGCCACTCGACACACCTGCGCACAATGGAAATGAAAACAAAGACGCACGGTCACAAGCTGCTTTCAAGCAGAATCTTCTGAGCAGAGTGGAGTTGAGAGAATATGCAGGTGAATACTCAGGTGCACCTGACAAAGATGAATGGACTTTACAATGGTTAAGCGCTACTCATGAAAAGCTGAAGTGAAGATTAAGGACTATCAGAACAAAGTACCCACAGACTGCTCATGAACAGTCTAAAGCATATGGCATATAAAATGTCAAGACTTCAGATTTCAAAATGGGAAGCTTGGATCTGACTGGCTGGCCTTTCTGGGAGTTTTTAATCACTCTATTGAGAAACAGTCTTGTTTTCAATGTTTCAGGCTGCTATAATGATGGATTCAGAGGAGTCACTGGACAAAAAGTTGCCTTTCTAAAGCTGGACATGCTGTACGGTTTTTATGATTCTTTACAATTGTTGAATGGTAAAGTCTTCAACAGGGGAAGTGAACCTTGTTCCTGGAGCGCTACCTTCCTGCAGAGTTCAGCTCCAACCCTAATAAAACTCCAGAACTTGGTAATCAAAGTGTTCAGGGTTACTTGAAAATAAAAGGCAGGGTAGAGCAGGGTTTGAACTGAAGTCTGCAGAAACGTAGTCCCTCCAGGAGCAGAGTTGGCTACCCCTGCTCCACAATATAACTTGAGTGAGATCTTGGTTAAAAGTCTTGGTACACTGTGACATCCACGTCTTTTATGTCAAAGTGTACTATATATTGTAGCAAAGACTTTGGTCCCAATCGTCCTGTTGAAAAATTGTAGGAGCAATCCCACTGCTCGACTGCGATTTAGAAGATTGATCATAAAGGCAGTTAGTCTTCTGGCAATGAATATGTCACACTAAACAATCAAATATTGGTGCTCTGTAATATACAAATAGTATTTAATATAATTCATTTTGGCGGCCAAAATCGACAGCCAAAAATTGCACAGTGTGAAGTGGGCGATTCCTGGCCAGAATAAATGGGCCAGACTTTCTGCCGATAGTAAAAAGTTTGGATCTGCAAGACTACTGATTGCCAGACATCATGTCTAAAATCACAAATCACAAAGTCTGCACTGTACCAGAGAGTACTTGTAAAGAATATGAGTGTATCTAATAAAAAACCTGAAGTTTAACATAAAGTGGACTGTAGAAGAAAGAAATGACCAAAAACCCTAAAGCAAATCCCTAAAAGAATGTTTTAAAAAGAGTAACAAGAAGAAATTGAGAGTTATGGAACGGTTAAGTCTTAATCCCATAGAAATGCTGTGGGAGGTTTGGGCACTTCATGCAAAAAAAAAAAAAGGGACAAAAAGTCAGTGTGGGAGACGAACAGAACAAAAACTTCTACAAAAGTGGGTCAACCTGTACCTGTGAAGAGAAGGTGCACACTAAGAAGTTGGTCCTGGAGAGGAAGTGGATATCCAGGATGACTCCTCTCAGAGAGTTTTCAGTGTAGCGGTTGTGTAGCCCAGCCGACCATGAAATAGAATTATCACTTATAAATTCATAATCAGGGTACCTGTACACAAACACACAAAAAAAGTGGGTTAAAAGGCGCTCCCTGAAGGCACTCCTCTTGCCGTGTTCCAAACCCTAGTCTGCTGCCTACCTACAGTATACAGCATTTTTAGACATCATTTCAGGCATGTTCATGACGTCAAGGCTTTTCCAAACAGAGGACAGCAAGTCTTATGAAACACCTCATTTTATCAAAATTCTAATGCAGCATCCTTTGCCGATAAAGGGATCCCAGAATGCACTACATGCTTAAATTGTAGACTAATAGACTTGGAAATGAACAAATTAATTAAAAATGGGTTCATTTAATTAAAGATGAACAATGTCACCATGGGCGTAAATTTCATCTAACAGTTGGGGGGGGACAATAAATATAAAATTTCTCAAGAGCAGTTTTTGAAAGTGATACAAATAATACAGCCAAAATTGTACTTGTAAGGATATGTGTACATAGAGAAAAGCCTTAAATTGACTGTGAGCCTTAGGGAATGTTCACACCAAGAACAATAATTATAAAGGTAACTGTAAGGACAACTATATTAGCATTCACATCAAACACACGCTAATGTTCTGTTTATTATAAACGCACACTGCAATTATGTCATCTGCCATTTTGAATGCTCGAGCTCTTTAAAGTTGGGTGTATTCTGATTGGCTGTCAATGTTTTTATTGTTTGTTAGCTGGAAAAAATGTTCTGAAAGTGATTCCAATGATATTGTTCCTCTGAGTCATCATTGTTATAGCTGTGGTGTGGACTATTCTCAGAAATAAAACAAATATTAAAACTTTATCGTTATAGTTATCATCCTTGGTGTGAACTGGAAAGTTGTCGCCTTATAAACGGTTTAATTTCAGTCACAAGATGTTCCATGTTGGTTATGATGCCAACTTAGGGTATTAACGATTCTAAGATAACTTCTTATTATTTCTGTCTAATATTTTCCATTTAATTACCAAAAGGTCCTTAACAGAAGATAAATTCAATTGCCAAGCAACACAGCATGAGATATTAAGACTTGTTTTCATAGACTATATAAACTGTACTCACTTAGACTTGGCCTCCTGCAGTAGAGAGGGGTCATCCGTGGCGAGGTAAACCCGTTTCTTGTCCACATGCATGCGCTGGGCCAGACTCTTGTAGTGGTCCTCAACATGCACCATGTACTCTTCTATGGGGTGGAATGCCGCCTTACAGTGAACTTTGTAGCATCTGAGTGGTTTTAATGGCCTGGTGTGATGCTGTGATGTGTAATGTCTCACCCTATAATGGGGTGCTTGAAGCCCAGCTTGCTGGTGGCCTCTTGCATTTCCTTCAACAGCCAAGCCTGAGGGCGGATCAGGTACGCAATACCTGGGTCAGCCTGGTTGTGTGCGTCCGTGTGAGAAAGGGATTCAAGGTCGACAAAGAACAGGAAAAAAATACAGACCAGCAGAATAAAATTTCTTTCCATTTTTTTAAACAGATGTTTAAAGGTTTTGTGCTTTGGGGTGCAGAGTTTCTGAAAATGCCAACCATTATGTGTCTATGTGTGAGTGTAAGGATGGGCGGCTGAATAAAGAGACAACAGAAAGTAAGAATGGTGTGTGTGAGAGAGATAGAGACAGAAAGATGGCTGTGAGTGGTTGCGCTCCCAGCAGAGAGCAAAGTGGGTGTAAGTGGAGATTGATTGTTGGAGCTTGTGGTGGTTTGTGTGAAAGGGTCTCTCTCCTCCTTTTCTCCCCCTCCCTCCTGCTCTCACACATAAATACAGTCAAAACCGATCAGTGCCTGTGTTTCCTAAGCTTGAGGTTTTCATCATAGCTTTAAACAGACGTTGGCTAATTTCCATAAAATTCTATTGTACATTCTATTGTACTTCTGAACATTTTTATCCCCTATAAATAAATAAATTAATAATTAATTCATAAATAAATAATATAAAACAATGTAAAATATAAATTATTAATTTAAAAAAATTATATATATATATATATATATAGGTCTGCAAGGTCTTCAGGGATAGCCAGGGGCAAGTACGGGGGACGAGGGTGCAGGCTGTCCACGATGGGCAACTCAATGACTTGAACATCCCGATCGTTTGCTTCACCTACAGACAATGCACAAGACAATGAGCGGAATGCACTGGAAAAATTAAATATTGCAGTATGGACTGAAAATTGGCCAAACATGCTTTTCCAATAGGGGACTAATTTACAATTATCAAGTCAATAAAGCTTGACGGAGGAGCTGCTCACACGGAATAGAGAGCAGGGGCTGAAAACATGAGAGATAAAAAAGACCCTTAGGCCAGAAACATACTACATGTAGGTATGAAAACAGATACAAATGCTTGGTGAATACAATAAAAGCAGGCGGCAATCTGTACATACTTTACATTACATTAACGCCTTTGGCAGGCACTTGTATCCAAAGTGACTTGCAGTGTATTCAAGGTGTACATTTTGCCAGTGCTTATACGCCATATTCTTCAAGTATGTTCTCGCATTAGTGTGGCGGCAGCAAACCTCAAGGGAGGGGAGGTGATTGAGTTTCCTTCAAATGTCTGTACCATAACACTGGATGTGTTATACAAAATCCATATTGTTCAACCACTAGCATGAAGTAATGGAAAAAAACCTTTATCAGGGAAAAATGTCTTCAAAGAACCTGTGCGTGCCAGGTTTAAATGATGCCTTATGCAGCATTAAATGTTAAAAAGTATTTTTCACACAAAGAAGTGTTGGAGAAACTCCCCAGCCGTTCTTATATAACCTTGCTGCTAGGCTCTTTGCATGGGGATGAGGTTTTTCCAGCCCAGCACCCCTCATTGCACTGATAAACAAAATAACTCTCTCTCTCTCTCATCCTCATTAGAGCAGCAAGAGAATCTAAATTACATCTTGTCCTTGCATCCTGATGAATAAATTGAAGGTGGGG